GGCTGCTCCGACTTTCTTCTGGAGGCACCTTTCCATAGAAATCTCATCCCTTTTCCATTTGGATCCTAAACTTAAGATTAACCCCCCCACACACACCACTACCACCCCCTCCCCCCACAGTATCTAATGGCTTTGCAGGGCTAGTTCAATAAGTATAAAGTAAATTGCATTTCTATTGCACCTTTCATCCTAGGATCTCAAAGTGCTTTACAAGCGTTCATTAATTTAGCTTGTAAATAACTTTCACCTCTTAGGTGGCTATGTAGCAAGAGTGTCTTACAAACGGGTAGACGGACGGGTAATGATTTGGTCAAGGTTGTGCAGCAGGTCGGTGGCAGAATCAGAAAGAGAGCCCAGGAGCCCCGATTCTTCTTTACTTGCCGTCATACCGACTCCACCTTATTTATATTGCAATAGTGTCTGTGGGCCTCATGTGGGTTCTGAGTCCCGTGGCGCTGGACAAAGATGATAAAGTCCTTATTGCAAGGTGATGAAGAGGAAGATAAAGCAGCCGGGATTTCTAGAGGCACTGCTAGTTCCCACCGACTTTCAGAGGGTCCTAGCTTGGAGACCAGACCCTAGCGATCTGAACCTCGGCTTCCAAAGAACGGAGGATGCTTGAAAAACGTTGATCTTATCGACTTCCGTACCAGGTCGCCCAATGAGCCAGTGAACTTGAATCCTGCTCTCCGCTCCCCACTTCGGCCGTTCGAGTCTGCTCTCCACCTACGGCTGAGCCCCAGAGTCCCAATTCAGCTGCTTCCCCAATTTCAAAGGATTGTGCCCCAGAGATTCAGCAGTGTCTGCCTGTGCAGTGGATTAAATGTCCTCTCACCTGATGAGGACCCACTCAGACAGGCCTCATCCTCTTTCAGCCGCTGCCGATCCCTCTTATTGGTATCAGCAGCGTGGCTCGGCGTCCCCGAGACCAAGAGAAATCCTACCTGAGATGGGGGAAGCCCAGGCAGCGCATGTCAGGAGCTGTTAAGGCGCATGACATATTGAGGGAATTAAAACACATTTAGGGAAATCTCCAAATAGTTTTTCAGCTTTAAAGAATAACACTGACTGTCTCAAGCTGTGGTAATGTATTCAGGCAACACAACTGAGTCAGAGCTAATTGAATTTAAAAGCAGGTATTACATCTGTGCCTTCGGAGCGAGTACACTGCGAAAAAAATCACTTCGGTGATGAAGTGTTTTACCCAACTACTACTTAATCTCTTTACATAGAAAGCAGAATTAACCCTGCTGTGAAGCCTTCATTAAGGAAACCAAATGAAGTTACCTGGTGAGGTTCAAATTTGCTGGAGCTGCAAGAGGTAGAACTTAAGCAGAAGTTTCTGAAATCCAGAGAGACTTGTTTTTAAGCAGGAAAAAAGATCCCCAAAGTGGTTTAAACCAGGTCACTTATCTGGGTCCCATTTCTCTGCAAATCTGAGAGGAAGCAGATACCTCCACCCCCGTGTGCACATATATGTAGATCCTTTCTGACATACTTCCCCAATAATTTGCCTTTCTTTCCTTCAGCATGTAGGGAGCTTTCTAGTCTATCCTCACCCTTTCCCAGTCTCACCTGTCTCGCTCTTCTCGCCAATTAAAGAGACTCTCTCTCCACGAAAGGCAATGAAATGAGTGAAGAAATGCAACCATAGAGAATAAAAAGACATAAATAAGTAGCGCCCTCTCCAGTCCCTTAATACAACGTGGCTGCTGCAGCTGGCACGGGGCAGCTGAAACAAGCCTTACATCTTCCAGTGTCTTTTCAAAACCTTCTCCAAAAACGTCCTTCCTCCCTTGCCCTTGGGGTTGTTAAAGGGGTTTGAATCCCAGGCCATCTGCTGTAAAACTGCAAGCCACTATCACCGTAAGGAAGAGGGCAAAAAATCTACCGGCCTGACGCTCTCTTCGAGAGGAACAAAGACCCACATCCTCCTCCCGCAGGTTACAATTTACACCTCTTATGTCCACTCTGCTATTATTTGACTCTGTGGCACGCTGCGACAGATCACCGGGAAAAAAAAAAGACACCAAACAGAAGCTTAAATTCGGCAACCTATACTCATGTTGAATAGTGCCGCTCACTTGAATGGCATTATTCATGCAAGCTGGCGTGTCTCGAGGTAAAAGCTGCTGAATGAATGGGATCCTAAGGCTGCATAGAAAGCCTGATTTCAACAGAAGTGGCGCAGAGTTTAGGTGTTAATAGCCTTCCCTGATCTGTTCTAAAAATTGGCTGATGCACGGACTTGCCTCTTTCTGAGAGCTCAAAGAGTAAAAAGCCCAATCAGGGGAGCAATATAAGGAAACATGCAGAAGTGGGAAAATGGACCTAAATCTCAGGATGAGAGCTGGCAGGCAAGTGCCCAGTGCTGCTAGGGATGCGAACTGGGTCCTGGGCATTTACTGCAAGCTCCAAACAATTAGCTAAACCGGGCACTTCAGCACCTGTCATTATAACTCCCCTCCCCGCCACTGGAGAACATCTCCAGGGACTCACCGAGCCTCCTTCTCCGAGCTCAGGACCGGAGAGGGGTGGACTGGATGTCACCCAAAGTCATTAGCAGATATTCTGGCAGATCAACGTTTAGGGGCCTGTTATTTGTCATTCAAGACTCGCACGACCCATGGGATTCATGAAAATCCTTGGGGAGCCTCTAAGTGTTTCGTGAATTTTAAGCGCAGGCAATTGATTGCACCTCCAGAAATCTGCACCGGAAAATGAGCTGTTTGTCATTCATTCATTTAGTCTTTATGGGGAAAAAAAAACAGAAAAGAAAAAAAAAAGTGTCATTTATCCAATTAGGGGTTTGGGTTATAGCCGTGTTGGTCTAAGGACATAGGCAGACAAGGTTCCTTGGGTGAATTTGATATCTTTTATTAGACCAACCCAAACCATTCATCCAATTAGGGAGCAGAAACAGTGCCTGGTAATTTCGGTGCCCTGAAACACACAACTAAGGAAGGGCAACCAGTCAAGAGACCAGCATGAAAGCAAATTCTGCCCTTCACTGGAACTGGCCAACACTTGCAAACAAGAAAAATGTTCAGAGACTTCAGGAGTGA